CTCCCCATGTAGGATCTCTGTCCTTAATGTGTTGTACTATGTGAATTTTCAGTATAACTAGTACTCGAACAGTACTTTATACTTTGTGTTTCTGTGTGGGTATAAACTGTTGAAATCTTTACTTAGTATACACTAAATTGAACTTCTGTATATAAAGATAATTGAAAATGAATCTTGATGTGAATGGGATGGGAGAGGAAGTGGGAGATGAGATGGTTGCGGGTGGGAGGGAGGTTATGGGGGGAAAAAGCAACTGTAATCCAAAAGTTGTACTTTGGAAATTTATATTTATTAAATAAAAGTTTTAAAAAGCTAATTATTTTCATACGTTTCTTTTCAAAAGATTTATTTTTATTAATTTGAAAGTCAGAGTTACAGAGAGAGGTAGAGACAGAGAGAGAGGTCTTCCATCCAGTGGTTCACTTCCCAGATGGCTGTGACAGCCAGAGCTGCGCCGATCTGAAGCCAGGAGCTTCTTCCGGTCTCCCATGTAGGTGCAGGGGCCCAAGGACTTGGGCCATCTTCCACTGCTATCCCAGGCCATGGCAGAGAGCTGGATCGAAGAGGAGCAGACAGGACTAGAACCGGCGCCCATATGAGATGCCAGCGCTTCAGGCCAGGGCATTAACCCGCTGCACCACAGCGCCAGCCCCTCATTCGTTTCTATATGCATAATTTAGTGCTTAATTTGCTGATTCTGATAGTATGTCCTAGAAAATATTGTGGGAGAGGATCCCAATGTAAATACATTTCTTTGGCATATTTGAGTTGGGTAATCAGAGAAACTGTGAACTTCTGCAGACCCAGGAGTGATTCTGAAAAGCTGTCCTTTTTTTAAAAGAAGTGTACCTCGACCTACACTAGTGAAGTAACACCAGTGCAGCCACCAACCTTTCTAACTGCTATCATCCCCTTCACCCCCAAACAGATTTTCCCATAGGAAGAAGGGACTGTGGGCCTGACAGCTCACAGACACTACCAGCTGCTGTTACCTGGAGGACCTCAGCTGCATAACATATAACCCTTGTTTGCTCTGCACCTCTGCCCCCACCTTCCACAGTCTGTGCCATCTTCCTTTGGCCTAGAAACCTAAGCCTTTATGTTTTAAGCTCCACCTAAGGGTCAGCCTTTGTCCTCCTCTTTGAGTCTCACACTCCAAAGCCACAGACATATGATAAAGTTTGTGTGTCCTTCTTGTTATCTATTGTCAGTTTATTATATAGACAATACTACTGAACCTTGAGGGAAAGAAGTAAACCTAAAATTTGCCTATGGTAGGGAAACATGAAATCTTTAGAAAAGATTACTGTTCTATAAGAACTAGCCAAATCTTCCCAAGCACTTGTACAGGGGATTCTTTGGGGACTGCTAAAAAAGAATTATTGTTTAACCTTAACTCAAACCAGCAAAATACATTAAGCTCTCATAGTCACATGTGAAAACAAGCAATGAAGATTAAATGAAAAATAACCAAGTTCATGGCTTTGTTTTAAGTTATTATTTACATGTATAGAGAATTAAACAGCCAGGAAGTAATGAATTTTGTAGAAATACACAGCAAATTCATGAAGGGTTGCTAGTAGCTATGATGTAAGGATAACTGTTGGTAGCAGACATGTTTTCACAGATATATCTTTCCTCTCTTTCTTTCCTTTTTAGATACCTTTTATTTAATGAGTATAAATTTCATGAGTGCATCTTTAGGAATACGACAATTCTTCCCACCGTATCTGCCCTCCTACCTCCACTCCCTCTCCAATTCCTCCTCCCTCTCCCTTTGCCATTCCCATTGTCCATTAAGATTCATTTTCAATTAACTTTATACACAGAAGACCACGGCTATACAAAGTAAAGATTTCAACTATTTGCACACACACACACACACAAACACAAAATCTAAAAAACTGTTTGAGAACAAATTTTACAGTTAAATTTTACAGTTAAATCTCACAGCAAGACCCATTTAGAACAGAGGTCCTGAATGGGGAGTAAGTGCACAGTGACTTTTGTTGTTAATTTAACAATTACACTCTGATGCATGAAATCTCTCCAGGCTCTTGCCATGAGTTGCCAGGACTTTGGAAGCCTTCTGTGACCATAGTCTCCATCAGTGTTTAGGCAGGGCCCAGAGGCAAAGTTCTCTCCTCCCTTCAGGGAAAAGTACATCCTTCTTTGACATTCCCTCGTTTCTACTGGGGTCGCATTCGCGGAGAGCCTTCACATAGGACCTTTTTTTTTTTTTTTTAGCCATAGTCAGACATACCTTTCATTCCCCAGCAACCAATGCTCACAACCTGGTAAAACTAATAGAGTTGGGCCAGCACTGTGGCACAGCGGGTAAAACTGCCATCTGCAGCGTTGGCATCCTATGGGCACAGGTTTAAGACCCAGCTGCTTCACTTCCAATCCATCTCCCTCCCAACTGACAGCCTAGGAAAGCAGCAGAGGAGTGCTTGGCCTCTGCACTCACATGGAGACCCCGATGAAGCTCCTGGCTTTGGCTTGGCTCAGCCCTGGTCATTGCAGCCATTTGGAGAGTGAACCAGCAGATGGAAGAGCTCTCTCCTCCCCCTGTCTCTCCCTCCTTTGCTATAACTCCTTTGAATAAATTAATTAAAAAAACTAATAAAGTCACACAAAAGTTTACATTTTATATGTATGTTCAGATCTTCATAAGTTAATATTTAGTCGCCCTAACCCATTTACTTAAATTGAGTCAAATGGAGTAATTGAATCCAAACACCTAAATGTTTTCACTTTTTCCTGTTTCAAGAACATATTACTTTCAATAGAAGCATAGATTCCCAGGAAGTTCTTACAGTAGTGAACAAGTAACTTACCTTCCAGGAATTAATTAATTCAATTGAAAACTGATGACTTTGAAATAGGGGATTCTAAATTGACTTTGAGTACCTGAACTGTTCAATGTTGTTATGTTGAAATGAGATTTAAGGGAATTACAATATTAATATTCTTAGGGAATAATTCACTAGTTTGCAGCTTTATAAATACATAGGTTATTATTCATAAAATCCACAGTGGGTTTATGTCCTACGGATTGATACATAAATATTATTTTTGGAAATATTTTAAACAAATCCTCCAAAAGCAATCACTAACAGTGAACCACTGATAGTAAATCCTCCTAAAACTTCATTAAAATGGTTTCTCTTTAAAAATAAACATCAACAGTATTAAAATGCTATATAACACTGGCATTCCAGAAGTATTATAGTCATAGGATTATCTAAAATGTTTCAGTTTCTAGAATGAACACATATTAAAATCAATGTGATAGAAAAATTCAAAAGTACAGCTTTCAGAAAATTTCTAAATTAAAAAATAAAGTACATAAATATCTTAAAAACAGTTTTTGTTCAATTCAAAACTTTCATTTCCTAAGAGTTTAAATTAAATATATTAATATAGTTTTTAAGATTACATAAAAATAGGCTGGCGCCGTGACTCACTAGGCTAATCCTCCGCCTTGTGGCGCCGGCACACGGGGTTCTAGTCCCGGTCGGGGCGCCGGATTCTGTTCCGGTTGCCCCTCTTCCAGGCCAGCTCTCTGCTGTGATCAGGGAGTGCAGTGGAGGATGGCCCAAGTACTTGGGCCCTGCACCCCATGGGAGACCAGGAAAAGTACCCGGCTCCTGTCATTGGATCAGCGCGGTGCGCAGGCCACAGTGCACTGGCCGTGGTGGCCATTGGAGGGTGAACCAACAGCAAAGGAAAACCTTTCTCTCTGTCTCTATCTCTCACTGTCCACTCTGCCTGTCAAAAAAAAAAAAAAAAAAAAAACAACAACATAAAAATAATAAGTTTTTATTCTTCTGTTTTATTTGTGTGAAAAGCACTCAGAGAGAGAGGGAGAGAGCGAGAGATGTACAATCTGCTAATTCACTCCCCAAAGGCTCATTACAAACAGCCAAGAGTGGGTCAGGCAAAAGCCAGGAGCCAAGATCTCCATCCACATCTACCACTGGGTGACAGGGACTCAGCAGCCTAAACCACCATCTTTTGATTTCCCAGGCTCATTAATAGAAGTTGAATGGTTAGGCAAAGACAGGGCTCAATCCCAGGCACATCAGTATGGGATGTGGAAGCCCCGTGCTACACCAAAATGCCCACATTGTATATGGTTTAATATACTGAAGACGTGCTTATAAACATATTTCATCATTATAGTATGCATCTTTATAAAAATTATTGTCCTTCTATATCTCTTCTGAAGAAAGCACTAGAAATAATATTAATAAATGTTTTACACAGAAGACTAGAGTCTTACAAATGTTGGCTACATAATGATGATAGTTCCCTTATTTTTTGTATCAAAAGAAGTTTAAAGACATAAACTTAGGAAAAATGCAAATTTCATAGCTGTGTTTAAGAAAAGACAGGTATTTATATCAAAGTTTTTCAAAATCATCCACTGTTACTAGAAATAATATTGCTTGAAAACAGGTTTTACAATCCTATTTTGACAGTTTCACAAGTATTTCATACCCAGAAAAAATATTTATGTTCAATTAAACTCTGTTGCCTGCACTGAAGCCCAAGAGCTAAAATATTATAAATTTCTCTGCACAGTTGTGTTTTCTTTCTTGTATCTGCATTTTAAAATGATGAGCTTGCCACTTGGTGACTGAAAACATAGTAACTTTATTAATCTGTTAATAAACAAATTACTACTTTCTTAAAAATAAATTGCCCCATTATTTTAACATGTTTTTTCCACGTCTTCAAATTCACTACTCAAGAGACTATGTTAGAGATACTCGTTTAAAAAAATTAATAAGACATTGGTATGCTAGTTGGTGCCTGTAATTATCTTTTTCAGGTTCAGGAGGTATTTGGGGATTGTGTAAGAGCAAAAGATGAATGTCGCAGTCCTACGTCCCATTAAATCGATGCATGGACACAGCAGCACCAGAGGTAAATAAGCTGTGGAGGCTGAATACCAATAAAGAAGATAAAAATGGTTTTACATAACTACTTACATCATAGCCTAGAAGTTCAGTCTGTGTGGATTTATCTACTCTTGAAGCAAATGCCTTCTGTAAATGCTGGACTTTTTCCTGTAACATGAAAAACAAAATTGTATTGTTGGTGAGCCAAGTGCTTCTACACCATTATTTCTCAGTTATTAAAATTTGACTAGAATGCAATTCATGATTTACACATGTGACCTGGTTCATTTAGTGTTTTTCAAAACAGCTTAAATATGTACAACTTTCATTTTCAGGTCACGCCAATCCCAACTTACAGCATTTTTCTTCTGGTACAAGAGTCACAAAGTCAAAATCACAGTTGAACATTAGAGACATGATTTGCTTAAATCTGAAAGCAAATGCTTATGCTGGGGGACAGCACTGTGGTGAAGCAGGTTAAAGCCGTGGCCTGCAGCACCAGCATCCCATATGGGTGTCGGTTCGAATCCTGGCTGCTCCATTTCCCATCCAGCTCTCTACTATGGCCTGGGAAAGCAGTAGAAGATAGCTCAAGTCCTTGGGCACCTGTTCCCATGTGGGAGACCTGAACAAGCTTCTGGCTTTGGATCAGCCCAGCTGTGGCCTCTGAGGCCATCTGGGAACTGAAGCAGTGGATGGAAGATCTCTTTCTCTCTGCCTCTGCCTCTCTGTAACTCTGCCTTTCAAATAAATAAATAAATCTGAGAGAAAAAAAAAAAAAAAAACTCGTATGCTGTTTTCCTGTTAGGGTATTTTGATAAATTGATATTATTCTGATTAAGTATCACAGAATTTATATTTAAAACAAAAACATTTTCAATAAATGACACCATTCAGGGAACCTCATTTAGATTTTGCTTACTTATTTATGTTTTGTTAATTCTCTCCAAGAACCCCTACACATGTAGATATCTGTACTTCCAGGAAAGAATCAGCTAACTTTGTGATTAAGAGTTAAGGTCAGGAATGCACATAGCAAGTTTGAGATTTCAAATGAAAATGTAATAATTATGGGTCAACTAATTTGACTGAACTGCTGGATGAGGGCTTCTCATTCCTAAATATGTCATTCAAAAAGAAAAAGGAAGGAACAATGAGATCATGAACTTACTTATTATGTAGTATGTTTCCTGTGTGACTGTAACAGCAGGACATGCTTGCCTGGGCACAACTCATCTTAGGACTTCTACTATTATTGCTACCCAATTTAAAGGAGAACAATGTAATTTAGAAAGTTTAACCAATTTAAGAAAATTTCCAAAGATGCTCGCATGACTCTTCTAAATTCTGGTTTTGACTTATCTTGCTTTTAGAGGAGAATTTCTTTCATTCCATTTTCTTTTGTAATGCTTAATAAAACAGTTGCATAATACTTGAACAATAAAAACTGATTTAATTCACTTTTTCCCAGGGTGGAAAGCTATTATGCCAAAAAAAAAAAAGTATACCCTCAGGAATTTCAATGGCACAGAATTCTTTCCTTCTCCCTTTGCATCCATGCTTTTTCCTTCTCCCTCTTCTCCCTGCCCCTCCCTCCCTACGTCCTCATTCTTTCCTCTAATTCTATCTAAAATTTTAAGATATCTGAGCTACTTCACAAAGTATACACAAAGTTTGATTCACTGAAAAACAGAAAGGAAATACTTTATACATTATTAGTATCTCATACTTCTAAACTTCCCTAATTAGAAAATTTCTGGGGCCCCAGCATCCACATGGGAGACACAGAGGCGGCTCCTGTCTCTGGATCATATCATCCGGATCCAGTCCAGCCACTGTGGCCATTTGGGGAGTGTACCAGTGGATGGAAGACTTTCTCTCTCTCTGTCTCTGCCTCTGTGTAACTCTGCCTTTCAAATAAATAAAATAAACCTAAAAAAATAAAGATGTGATGGAGGCTGGCTTTGTGGTTCAGTGAGTTAAGCTGCCACCTATGAAGCTGGAATCCCATACGGGCACCTGTTCAAGTCCCTGCTGCTTTACTTCCAATTCCACTCCTGGGAAAGCAGTAGAAGGTGGCTCAAGTTCTTGGGCCCCTTCACTTATGTGGGAGATCCAGATGGAGTTCCAGGCAGCTGGCTTCAGCCTGGCCAGCCCCATCCTTTATAGCCATTTGGGGAGTGAACCAGCAGATGGAAGATTTCTCTCTTTCTCTCTCTCTCTCTCTCTCTCTCTGTCTGCCTTTCAAATAAGTATTTGAAAAAATAAAGATGTCCTATGACATAAAGTTTATTTGATTGAAAAAGATGAGTGAAAATGGGGTTGCTCTTTCCAAACTAAATTTTGTGTATTTATTTGAAAGGCAAACTGACAGAAGGGTAGTAGAGAATAAGAGTGATCTTCCATCCATCCAACGGGTCACTCCTCAGATGCCTTTAATAGCCAGGGCTGGGCCAGGAAGAAGCCAGGAGCCAGAAACACTTTCTGGATCTCCTAGCATATTAACAGGAAGCTGGATCAGAAGTATGGAGTAGCTGTGAATGGAAGAGGCACACTGAAATAAGATGTGTGTGGTCCCAGGCAGCAGCATAACCTACCCCCCAACAATACCTGCCCCCCAAAACTGAATTTTAAAAGAGAAGGATCAATTTGTGAGTATTCTGACTTGCATTGACTTGGAGAAAATAGCAGAAAGCAGAAGTTATAGGTAAAAGAATTAATGAAATTTGCTATCATTGAAACATCATTTAGAAATTTTGTTTATCTACTTTTGAGATAGATTGGAAGTTTCAGTATCCGAAAAGTAAATTTATTGTAAGTCTGTAGGTAGACAGACTTTTGTGGGTGAATTAGAGACTGCCCACTAATGTACAAAGCAGGGGAAACAGCTGGCAATGCTTTCTTTATGCTTCAGTTCACATTTCTATTTTCAAGGGCTTCCATGGCTCATTGGTCTGGGTTATAAGACTTAGGAAATTCAAATAAGGAGAAATGAGAAATTCAAACAGCTTCATTAACCAATAGCCTAATCAAAGCAAAACAAATAAACAAAAACATCCTAAATAAAAAAAAGTTATTTTCAGAGGAAAAACATACATTTCTGAAGATTTTCATTGTTAGTCCTTGTAGCTGGTAATCACAACAAATTATGAGCTTTTGAATTTTCTACTGTGTATAAACCTGTATGCTCTATTCAAATATGGAGAATAAATTACAAGTTTTCAATAAACTTGGATCAAAATAATTAAGAAATGCTTTAGAGTTATAGAAGGCAATAATTATATGAACATTTATTATTATTTTCCTATAACATAAATTTAGAAATAAAAAGAAGAGACAGCCCCTGGAAGACAATTCCCTATCAGTCCTTAAATTTCTGCAAGATTGGTGGATATTTATGGATTGGGTAATTTAATATATAATAAAAAGTGTATTATAGATAAGCAAAGAGAAAATGTACTACAGAAGTATCTATGATTGGGTGGTGGGATTGTAGAGAGGCCATAATAAAAATATGCATAAACAGCCACCTGCTCAAAATTGCCTAAGCAGAGTCAGTAAAAGAGATAAGAGTAAGGCATAAGGCCACCAGGATAAATCAAGTTTGTCAGAAAATACAGAATGCTATGCCCAAGGATTTGAGATTTATCTAATAAAATATTTCACAATTAAAACTCATAAAAATATCTTTACTATATTTCAATAGAACTTATTTAAATACTTCCTTCATGGCCAGCATTGTAACACACCTAGTTAAGCCACTGCCTGTGAAACTCATCACTGATGAGCCCTGGTTCCTGGCCCAGCTGCTCCATTTCCAATCCAGCTCCCTGCTAACATGCCTGGGAAAGCAGCAAAAGATGGACCAAGTGCTTGTGTTTCTGCCACGGAGATGTGTGGGAGACAGATGCATTTCTAGGCTCTGGCTTAAGCCATGGCCATTGTGGACATTTGGGGAGGGAATAAGTAGCTAGAAGAGCCCTTTATCTTTCTACCCCCACCACCCCTGTTCCATCTCCCTCTCTCTGTTTCTCCCCTTAACTCTGCCTTTCAAGTCACATAAAATGAAATAAAAACATTTCCTTCAACCTATATAAGGCATAAGAAAGGCAGTCAGATGGAGGCCATGTGGAAAACAGAAACAGTTGAAGTATGTTGAACTTTATTTTAGCTTTACCACCAATTAATTTACTCCATGTAATTTAATGTGGCTCTCCTTCAGTATTCTCCTATGTAAGCACACATTGTAATTCCTTCGCCTAATCTCTCTCAGAGGGATAGTATTTAAACAACTCAACATCTGGTAGATAAATGTTATAAATATATCTATACTCCAGGAAAATTATCTAATTACCTTGAAGTTTTTCTTACCAAGCAATGACAATATCAATATGTCTTTAGAAAACACATCCTTTTTTTTCTCATTTATGATTAGTTTTTATGTGCTTAGGATAGACAATTATCTGCATATTATATTTAAAAATATAACAAAAATGGAATGAAAATGAGAAATTTCATTATTTACATTTGCTGTTCAATTGCTGGCTCATCTGAGTCCTGAATATGTGGAGGTTTTTGTTATATCATACTGCTGTATGAACAAAATTGTGGTTTTTCTGTCAAAATTTCCAAGTGGTTTCATCTGATATTAAAAGTAATATAACAATATCTGCTAAATCAATTATCAAAAGTAAATGTATGTAAATCAAAGATATACAGTTAATTAAAATATTTATTTATTTAAGAGAAAGAGGGAGGGAGGGAGGGAGAGAAAGAGAGGTCTTTCATCCACTGGTTCACTCCCAAATGGCTGCAATGGCCGGGGATGTGCCAATCTGAGGCCAGAAGCTTCTTCTGGGTCTCTCACACAGGTGCAGGGACCCAAAGACTTGGGCCATCTTCTGCTTTTCCGGGCCATAGCAGAGTTAGATTGGAAGTGGAGCAGCCCTGACTTGAACAGTTGCCCATATAGGATGCCGACACTGGAGATGGCAACTTTACCCCTATGCCACAGCACCAGCCCTAATATATATATTTAATTTATAAACTTACTAATACTTAGATATATTCACATTCTCTTTCCTTTTGTAGTTTTTATGATTGTAATGCTTATAACTAATAAGAAATGCCACTACCAGAATATATGTGTATGCCAGGCATTCCATCAA